CTTGGAGCCTGTGAACTTCAGCAACTGGATGACCCTTGACCTTTGACCTGTCATCTGTGGCATCCCAACATCTGCTACTTCGCACATGTGTGGGTGAATGTGCATGTGGAGGCCAAAGGTCAACCTGAGGTGTCATTCTTCAGGCACTGTCCACTCCCTCCCCAACAAGCTTTCTCACTGAACTTAGAGTGCTCGGGCTAGACTGCCCGGTGAAGGGTTACAGCATGAGCCACCATGCCCAGTTTTCCATGAGGATTCTGGGCCCGAACTCAGCTTCTCATGCTTGCACAGCAAGCACTTTACCACCTAAGCTTTCTCCCAGCCCCATGCCCAGGCATTCACTCTTGCACGCGTGTGAACTCATCCTGGACAGCTTCCCCACCTCATTTGCTGAGGCAGACTCTCCCAATCAAACCCAGAGGTCCCAATTGACCAGTCTCATTCATGAGCCCTTGCTTGCTTCGGGGATCCTGCTCTCTGCCTTCTGAGACTGGGATTACATCCATTGGACCCACCCAGCATTTTTGCTGGTTTCTGGGGATTCGAACTCAGATCTTCATGCTTGCACAGCAGATGCTTTCCTTGCTAAAAAGCCATCTTCCCAGCTGCACCCCCATTTTCCCACCTGTAGCCAGAGGGCTCCAGAACCTGTTTCCATCTCTCCAGAACAGAGAGAGCTTAGGTGGCTGGCAGTTGCTATCCTCAAACAGCCTGCCTGCCTGTCCATCTCCTGGCATCTCAGAACTCGGGCTCCCCTAAGGGATGTGGCATCCCACCGCTCCGCCCCTCCCTCCTATAGAGAGCTGTCTCCTTTACATAGATCTCCTGCTGTTCTTGTGACTGCCCCAGGGGGGTCCCCAAAGAACCACACTTCTCAAAGGACCGAGCCTGCTGGTGCATACCTGATATTCTTGAACTGCAAAGGCTGAGGCAGGGGGATTGAAAAGTTCAAGGCAAGAGCCTGTCTCGTAAAACTAAAACCCCTGTGGGTGTGGTCTGGTGTCTAACTGGCTTCTCTGGTCCTGAACACCTTGTGTCCTGTCACAGCTCATTGCTGGAGGAAACAGTGTGTCCTATGTAAACCCAGGGTGGGGAGTCTGTTGCATGTGGCCAGCTTCCTGTGGTCTCGGCCCAATGCTCTCCTCTTGGCTGGCTTAACCTGGGGTATATGGCTGGCAGCCTTGCCAACAAGGCACTGGACACGAGATGGTGTTGGGGACCCTTGTCATAGTCCTTTGCTGAGAACGTCTTCGTTTCCTCCTGCTGCAGCTCTGCTCACATATCTGGTCTCATCTGCCTCCCTGCTTAGCCATACTGCCTCCATTCAGCCTTTGTACCTGGCAGGTTTGTCTGGCCTCAGGGCCTTTGCTCCAGTGACTTCCCCTGGCCTGGGATATGTGAGCTCTCTCATGCAGTCTTCTAGCTTTTCTTTTCTCTTTCAGGTCCCTTCCAAGTGTCCCAGCTCAGAGGTGCTGGCCAGCCTGCCCCCATCACACACTCCTGCACCGACCTCCTCTGTCACCCTTGCGCCTGACTGAACACCCCATACCCCGGGGCGCAGGTCACACAGTTTCCTGCTCACACCGTACCTTCCACGCCTGCCAGGACCCCAGGCTCCAAAGTCAGGGACAGTGCAATGAAAACACACCAGCCACAGTGTCTCCCAGTGACAGGCAGGGCGCAGTGAGCCCACCTGCCCCACCCCCACCCAGGCTCGGTGTTCTGAGGAATGCCTATTTATAAAATCAGGGAAGTCTGTAAATAGGCGTTGAAGTCTTTCCTTCTCGAGGGTGGGGAGGAAGTTTGAGGTTTGCAAAAACAACCCCTCTGCGGCTGAGTGGCTCAGGTAGGGGGGACTAGCGACCCAGGTCTGTCTAGAGCGGCTCCTCACTCACCTCACGTTCACCTGGAGGGTCAGGGATGTGCTTGGAGGCTGTATGGGGCAATGACTTTCGCACAAGAATGGGACGCATCCTCCCCAACCCTACAGCAGCCATTAACTCGCGGGAGAGCTACACAATTGCACATCCTTTCCACATGGGTCCAAATTGGCCTCATTTATGGATGCCAAAACCAAGAAGAGAGAGGCCAAGAGACTTGCTAAAAGTCACACAGCTAGGGAGAGACAGCTGCCCAGTGGAGTCACCTGGCCTCCTACATAGCCCACTAAGAATGTGGCCTGGGACAGATTGTCTTGTCGTGCCTCGCCCCTGGCACACCCTAACATATTACCCTAGGTGGGATCCCTCCTACCGTTCACCTCTCCATTCTGTTTCAAAGGGCTGATGGGTGCCCTGTCCAAACAAGCACGGGGAGTGTCTTGCTCCTTCCCCTAGGGGACAGAGACGATGACGTGGTGTTCAGGGAAAGGGAGCCGGACACAAAGCCTCTGACAGCAGCCACCCTGGATGCTTCACAAAAGCAGAAGAAGGGTAAGTTCTCCACCTAGAAGCTGTGTGCTGTCACCTGGGGACCGATGTGGGGGTGATGCTGCAGCCATGGAGTCCACAGAGGAAAAGCCTCTGGCCCCTGCTGCTCCCTTCGGGAATGGGCCAAGGTACACCAAGGGGCAGGCGAAGGGAAAGAAGCCATTCTGTCATCCAGGCTGTGTCTCTAACTTCCTGAGAAAAACTTGACCCACAGGGACAATGTGTGTTGCCTGAAGAAACCTCGACCATGAATGCGAAGGACAAGTAAATTGTCCTCACTTAGGGCAGGGACATATGTGTCTTCCAGCCTCCTGTATTAGCGCCTGCTTGAATCCCTCAACCTAAAGGGCACACCCCACTTTTGTTTGTTTTGTTTTTCGAGACAGGGTTTCTCTGTAATGGTTTGGAGCCTGTCCTGGAACTCGCTCTGTAGACCAGGCTGGCCTCAAACTCACAGAGACCTGCCTGCCTCTGCCTCCCGAGTGCTGGGATTAAAGGCGTGCGTCACCAACACCAGCACACCCCACTTGTTAAATATGCAGTTGTACCTGAGGGCATCTATCTCCCATAAGCTGAAGCCCACGCCTTGAGGCTGTGTCTGTCCTTCTGTATGTCTGTCTGTCCGTCTGTCTGTCTAAATATATAATAAACTCACTACCTTTCTTTCAGTCTGGCTCGTGCTGAAATTCTTCTCTATGTCATGGTCAAGGATCTGGCTTTACCTGAGTAGAGTTTCCTGACAGGGAAGGGAGCTCTCAAGGCTTGTGTCCCCCAGTGCCACTGACAATTCCACAGAGAGGGCCAGCTGCATGCTGGAGTGACCAGGAAACATTCCTACAGTGCTGGATGGAACCCAGGGCCTTATAATAGCAGACAAGCTGCCATGACTGAGCCACACCCCAGTATCACCTGAAACACCACACACACTCAGCTCGTGAGCATACTCTAAGTGCAGCGAGGCTCAGCGCCACAGGCAAGCTCAGCTCCTCCAGAGGAAGTGAGCCAATGGGGTACCCGACCGCAAGCTCCACACACCTGACTTCCAAGTCCCAAAGATGGGCCTGGAACGTGCATTCATCTGAACTGTGGAATAAGGCCAGCAGATGGACCACGACCCCTGCTTGTCCCATCATAGAGTCAGCAGCCTTCGACGTAAGTGGCAGCCGTCCCCGGGTACTCTGCTAAGACCACTGCACCTCTGTGGGCTAATGTTATTTGCTCCCGTTTCCCAGAATGGGAAACTGAGGAGCAGGGAAAGGAAAAAGGAGAAAGGACTCTCAGGAAGTCAGTGTCTGGATAGGTGGCCAAGCCCATCTCTGCAGAACAGGCCACTGCCAATCTGGTCTGTGAAGTGACGCACACTCACCGCCCACCCCCTGCTTGTGTCCTCAAATTCTAGGAGGCCAGGGGCCAGCAACATGGTGCAGCAGGTAAAGTCCCTGCCCCCAAGCCTGACGACCTGAGTTTGATCCCTGGGACTCACGTGATGGAAAGAGAGAATGGACTCCCACAAGTTGTCCTTGGGCAGCCATAAACACACCACGGTACGGTACACACGAGAACATACACAGAGACACACAAAGATATGAATAGATAAGTAAGCATAATTTAAAAAGAAACATCTAGGCTTTCTGGACAAGTTCAAGGCCATAAGGGCAAACTCTTCATGCAAGCATATTCCATAGCATGGTGTATCAGGCCAGGCTCAGCCGTGGCAGGAGCATGCTGTCTGCCACAAGGGGACCTAGCCAGCTGGTCACCCATGGAGACAGCTCCTCTGTGGTGACAGCATGCCCCACCTGGCTCCAGTTCCCCAAGGTGTGTCCTAGCTGGGTTCTGTGTATGTCTACTTCCCCTGCTGGCCCCACACCCTGATACAGGCTGGTGACCAGCCTTCAGCACCTTGCAATTTCTCCCTGCAGCTGTAGCTTCATTCTCATCCCTAGACCCACCTGGACCTCCATCTTAGCTTCAACTGTGGCTTCTTCCTCTGGGGACACACCTCTACCTATACCAATGCTCAGGGTCACTAGTCAAAACCACACAAGCAAACCAACCCTGGGCCAGCGTTGCCATAACCCCTACCATGTCACCCGTCTCACAGTAACCAAAGACTGAAGACAACTTCATCCTACTATCCGTAGGTAGCGGACCCCTGCCTTGGTGTCAGTCAAGAATCTTCCCGAAGAACCCAGCAATTTTACCAAATCTGAGACCATCCAGGAACCCTTGCTTTGCTGCGTGAGCGGGTTCTGGTTGGTCTCAAACTCACTATGTAGCCGAGGATGACCTTGAACTCTTGACCCTGACCCTCCCACGATTGCAGGTTTGTGCCCCTCCCCCCCACCATACACCCAGCCAGGCTCTGACATTGTGGTTCTTAAACAAATCAGGGGTTTGCATGGCGGACCCTGCCTCCCCTGCTGCTGGGTTCTGTGAAACCCGGCTGTAGTTTCTCCTTCAGGACTGGAGGCATGGCACACCACCTTACAATGGGGTTCCTCTCTGACATGCAAGAAACAGGGTTCTCCCCTCACAGCATTCACGGTGGAGCCTCCAGACATGACTTACCTTTTGGTCCTGGGAAGTCATTTTTCCCGTCGTCTCAGGATCTAACAGTGAGAGAACTGGTGGCTGACACGTCACCCTGCTGTCACTGAGTGTGCGCTTCTCGATCTGTCCTCACAGATCAGTGTGAACAGCGTCTGAAAATAAGGTCACAAAATGTGTTGGAAGGGTACAGTCTGGAAAGATAGTCAAAGAAAGTCTTAATGAACACACGATTGAGCATCTATCCACCTTTGGGTAACTGTGAGAAGCAAACAGTCCTCACTGTGGCCAACAAGTGAAAACAACGGTGATCCATCAATGGACCGCTAACAGTTGTTACAATGTTGATGGTCCCTGGAAACACACTAGCGGAAGACAGCTAGATTCAGCAGGGTATGCTGAGCCTGGCATGCTGGTGTACCTGTAACCTGGCACTTAGAAGGCTCAGGAAGGATTATGAGCTCCTGGACTGCATCGTGAGGACCTGTCTCAACATTAAAAAGGAAAATCAGACTGGGCATGGTGGCACACACCTTTAATCCCAGCACTCTGGTGGCAGAGGCCCGTGAATCTTTGTGAGTTTGAGGCCAGCCTGGTCTACAGAGTGAGTTCCAGGACAGACAGGGCTACACAGAGAAATCCTGTCTCAAAACAAAACAAAAAAAGGAAATTGGAGTCTGTGAGATGGTAAAAGTACTTGCTCCCCATATCTGACAACCTGAGTTCAATCTCTAGAACCTTTCACCATAGGGTGGAAGGAGAGAACAGACTCCCACAGGATGCCCCCTGGTCTCCACACATGTGATATAGTACACATACATACATACATACACACACACACACACACACACACACGCACACACATTTTGAAAAGAAATTCTGAGACAAGCTTGTAACATGTAGCTCTGGCTGGCCAGGAACTTGCTCTGTAGACCAGGCTGGCCTCAAACTCACAGAGATCCCCCCCTGCCTCTGCCTTCCTACACAGAATTAAAGGTGTGCACCACCACCCCAACAAATAATTTTCTAAGATTTATTTTTAGAAGTGAGTGAGTCTGTGTGTGTGTGTGTGTGTGTGTGGTGTGAAGGACTGCACATGTGAACACAAGTGCCCTCACAGGCCAGACAGAAGTTCCGCAGAAGCTGGAGTTTCACGTGGTTGCCAGCCGCTCAGTATGCGTGCTGGGAAATGAGCTTTGGGAAATGATCTCGGGTCTTCTACAAGAGTAGCATGCACTCGACCCCTAAGCCATCTTTCCAGGTCCTGGCCTGCCTTTTAAAGGAAAATTTGGGGCATTGCTATCTCTTTTCTTTTTCTTTGGTTCTGGAATGACTATGCGTCATTTTTCAAAATTATTTTTAACACTGGTGTCAGAGGCATATAGTCAAACTTTAAACAGTACAGAGAGATGTGTGCTGGTGAGTCAGCCTCTACCCTGTGCCTCCTTCCCAGAAGCATCCACTCTGACCAGCATCTCGGTGGCCTTCTGGGGTGTTCTCTTTCTTCACATGGAAAGGGGTGTGCATACTCCTTCACTTTCTTCTAACACAAGTGTGAGTGACATGTTCCTCTCACAGAACCGGACTTATTTCCTTTTAGGGTGGAGGAGGTAGATTAACAGCCCCCCCAGGGCACCCAGGCCCTTTCCCCTGGAACCCAGGAGCTCATCACTTTATGTGTGTGCAAAGATTGTTTGACAGGAGACTGCCCTGGTGGACATGCTGTCATCAGGAGGGTCTGTCTAAGCAGCAGGGGTGTGAGAGTGATGGCTTGATGGCGTTGTCAGCAGAGAGAACCCTGAAGATGCCAGGCGGCTGCCAGAATGGAGAGACTAGCGCATGCACCTTTAAAAACTGGCAAGGACCCTCAGACCACCCGCCGCCTCTGGAAGGAAGGCTTGGAGGCCTCTCCCTTTGGAGCATGGAGACTGCTTTTAGGCTTGTGAACCACAGAACTATGAGATAATAGGTGGGACTTTTTTTTTAACCACCAAATGTATATATAGTCCCTGCTACAAACCGAGGACACTCACAGTCCCGGGGGACCACACTGGCAGTTTGCTCTAGATGGAGCTGCTCACTGTGACACCCGGTATCCCACTGTGGGAATGCAGTGAGGCTGCTGGTGATAACGTGGATGTTTCCCACCCCTTCCCATCCCAGAGCCCCACTGGTAACTCTACACACCGTTCATTGTGTGCATTTGAACACATTCCCAAACGTGATCCAGGCTAAGCAATTCAGCGAGACTGGCTGCTAACGCATGCGCACAGGTCTCCTGGTCTCTGCCTCTCAGAACTGGGATTCTAGCATGTAGCATCACAGTACATCTTTTTATGTAAGAACCAGGGTCGAACTCAGGTCCTCATGCCGGTGTGCCAAGCACTTCACCAACTCAGCGGTCACCTCAGCACCCTCTGACTTATCTTTCTAGTTACAAAAGCAAAATGCCATCAGTTTGAGAAACATATTCAAACACTTAACCCCTCCAAAAACTCACTCCCCCTTGAGCCCTGTCTCTTTCCTTCTTGTGCCCTCCAGCCCAAGTGACTATCAAGGACTTTCGTGACAGTGGAGTTCAGCTACTTGTCCCAACACGACTATAGGTAAAGGGCCAGGGAGATGGTTTAGTGGTGGAGGTCCTTGCTGTCAAGCCTGACAACCTGAGTTTGATCTCCAGAACTCACATAGTGGAAGGAGAAAACCAGCTCCACCAAGGTGTCCTCTGACTTCCTCATGTGGCGCACATGTGTGCATGTGTGCACGCACGTATGCACATACATGTGCGTGCACACACACACACAATGTAGTTAAACAAACAAAGCTGGGCATGGTGGCATGCCCCTTTAATCCCAGCACTCGGGAGGCAGAGGCAGGCAGATCTCTGTGAGTTTGAAGCCAACCTGGTCTACAGAGCAAGTTCCAGGACAGTCAGGGCTACACAGAGAAACCCCGTCTCGAAAAACAAAAAACAACCTCCATGTAGGCAAAAGGAGGAATTAAAGGGCCCTTGATATTCCCTTTGTTTTCAAAGCAGAAACAAAACTAACTCAGATACAGAAGGACAGGGGGTTCACCAGCTGAAGACAAAGGGTTTCTTTTTTCTTTTTTAAATTTTATTTATTTATATTTTATGGATGAGTGTTTTGCATGTATGTATGCCTGCATCCCAGAAGAGAGTATCAGATCCTATTATAGATGGTTTTAAGCCACCATGTGGTTGCTGAGGCCTGAACTCAGGACCTCTAGAAGACAACCTCTTCACCCCTGGGCCATCTCTCCAGAGCCCTGACAGAGGGTTTCAAACTTCCATGTCTTCCACAGTAAACTAGCCCAAACAAATATAAATGGTAAAACCCAATGCCTGAGTGGCTTTGGAGAAACCTCACCATGGCTGGACAGACATGACCTAGGCAGACATCAAGTAACAGGGACCAGTGTAGTGTGGCATCTGGTTTAAACCCCGCCTGCCGACCAGCACCTTCCAGAATGCTACATCCTAGACCTGGCCACTTTGTTTCAGAAACTACCCCAAAGGACTGCCAGCAAATCTACAGGCAGCAGTGTTATAGCACAGCGGATGGTGTGACCAACCCCCAAAACCTGCATGGGATTAGCTGAAAGCCATGCAAGCAAGCCGGGCGGAAGGGCACGCCAGGGTCTGGGCAGAGGTGGAGAAAGCAGGCCATTGAGCAACCAGAACTGATAAGTGTGAAGCCGCTCCGTGCTTGCAAAGACATGGAGCCCTATGTGCCTTTCCTCCGTGCTAGGCACTCAGAGCCTGGAGATGGCAACACACAGTGCCGAGCCACACTCCCTGGGAGAGAGCAGAAAGGCACAAGATGAGAAGCCCGGCTCTTTCAGGTGGCCAGGCTCCTGAGGAAGTGACACAGGGGCTTTCTGAATTTCAAGATTGTGGGGACCAGAGTCCCAATTAAGAGGAAGGTCCTTTGATAGCAAGAACTTAAGAGGACAGAGGGGGTGGGGTGGGGTGGGGGTAAGACAGAGCCAGAGAAGCAGAACAGGGGACGAGAATTCAGATAAATGGTAGGAAGGGTGTGGAGTGGGGATCTACCAGGACTCCCAGCTTGTGAGAAATGCCGAGGAGTTGTGGGGACAAGAGTCACAGCAGGGACATGATGGGGAGGACCAAGGAGTAAAGGTCTGGACTTGGGCATCACAGCCGTCAGACTTGTGGCTGGTCTAGATGGGGTGGGAGTTAGCAAGGGACACAGAGACTCCAGCTGGAGTGGCTGGGAAAGGAAGTCTGAGGACACAAACATTCTGGGCGTCTTCCTTTTTGCTAACCCATGGCCAAGGGAGGGTTGTGGGCCAAAGGAAGCTCTGGAATTGGGTAAGTCTTAGCTAGAGATTTTCAAACCCTGCCTGCCCTGACCAGTCTTTCTGCCAGGCGAGTCCTGGAGACAGAAGTTGATGTCCCCAGCCTCCGCCTTACTCAAGAACCCTCAAGCTGCCGGTGAGCAGTCAGGAAACACTGTAAACCTTGGAGAGTCCCCGCCAACCTGAAATGAAGTAACCAGGATGCAGAAGTACTTTCAGGGGGTCAAGGCGAGGGGTTGAGGAGGACAGCTCCCAAGTGACCCTGTGCTAGATGAGGGTGCTAAGACTCCCCCAGCTATCCCAGCAGTCCTGGGAGGCAGGCACCGCTCAGAATGCCATGGGGGACTCACAGCTATGGCATGGAGAGCCCTGCACCCAGTGGGTATGGGTGCTAGGTAGAGGGTTGGGGAGGAGCAGGGGGAGGGTGTGCTGCCCTCAGTATACCCCAGTCCTAGCTCACCCACCATTCTTCTTCCTTGGTGCCCCTGAGCCCAACAGATGGGGGAATTAAATTGTTTCCAAAAGGTGCTATTAAATTGGGACTCCTCCTGCTAGAATGCACCAGTAGGCTGGCTCCTTGGGGCCTCCTCCTGAGGTGCAAGCGCCAGCCCTACCCCCTTAGCTCCTGCTATCTCCCCGAGTGGCTGTGGGGCTCTGCGATGGGGACAGGGTTTAGGGTTTCGCACCCACCTGCTGGCAGTGCTGGCTGAGCTGGCTGTGCCTCCTTTGCTGGCTCTCTCCACCTGTAGGAGGGGGACACTGTTACCTCCTCCACCGGTCACAGGGTCACACAGTGATGGGTGTGTCAGAGCTAGGGTGGTGGATCTTGGTAACACCCACTAGGAGAGGAGGCGCTTGTCAGTGCCCCATTCCCTCGGGAGGATATCGGGGTGAGCCAGTCACAGTCCACGAAGCAGCACCGGGACTCAGCCAACCCCACAGCGCCCGCCAGGCCTGGCCTGGTTACCCCCAAACCCCCCAGCTAAGTCCCAGTCAGAACGGACAAAGGTCCTGCCTAAGAGCAGACACGCAGAATCACTGGGATGGAGGGAGTGGCCAGGGCTTCCTTCCTCCGCCCGGGCCCTCAGGCCTGTCCGCCGCCCCGCAGCAGCTGCGTGCAGGGCAGGTCACCCGCAGCCTGAGGCTGGACAGAAGAGGGGCCCGCCCTCCCTGAGCGCCCTCTCATTACCTGACTGCAAACTGCTCAGCTCAGTTCTCGGTCCAGGGCACACTGAAGCACACCCCTGCTCTCAGAGCCCAGGGGCGGTCCCGTGGCCTTGGGGGTGTGGTGTGGCGCGAGTTTCCACAGCTGCTCTAACTTGCTACAAACTCACTCGCGGGGCCTATGGAGGCACCTATGCGCTCCCACACAGAGAGTCCCCAGCTCTGAAGCAGGCTCTCCAATGACAAAGACCAAAGTATGCACAGGGCTGGGTCGCTTCTGCAAGGCTCCTTGCCTCCTCCTAGGTGACTGCACGCTCCCCTGACCCGTGAGCCTCCCCAAGGATCACCTCTCTCCTCCAAGGCCTCAGTGCTTATTGGAGGAGGTGCACTCTCTAGCTGGCTTCACGGAAACAATTGATAGAAGAGCAGGTTAAAGAGAAAATGTTATGGAGATGGTCCCAAGAAAAGTCAGGCCAGAAAAATGTAGCTGGGGGAGGAACGGCCGCACCCATACTGTCTGGGCTGGGGCCCGGGTAAACTCGGGGTGTCACAGAGATGTGAGTGTGTGTGTGTGTGTGTGTGTGTGTGTGTGTGTGTGTGTGTGTGGTTCAAGGAAGGAGTGGGTTTCCTAGCATGCTTGCTCTGCTTACTCGGACCCATTTCAGCCCCAAATGGAAGCCATCAGCCTCTGCAGAGCTCCAGCCCTTCATGGCTCCTGTGTGTGAGAGACCCCTAAAAGGCTTATCTAACCCAGCCTAATTAAGCGGGCCATTAACTTTTGCTTCATTGTAAACACTTGTAGGTTGTGGGCTAGCCCCCACCCCCATCCTCAGGTTGTAGTCTGACATCACCTGCTGGGAGTTACAACCAGTACCAACAGGTGGCTTCAGCTACTCACCCTCGGGTTCTGGCTGACTCCCTGCTGTCCCTGCTATCTTTTACATCTCAACTTGTCCCCACCTAAAAATCACCTGGAAAGAAAGTCTCAACAGGATTGTCTGTAGAGAATTCTTAATTGTTAACAGACGTGGGAAGACTCAGCCCATTGTGGGTGGTATCATTCCCTCCACATGGGCCCTGGGCTGTGCAGGAGAGGAGAAAGCTATCAGAGAGCAATGAAGCAAGCAGGAGTCACAAGTTATTCTCTGTCTACTCTTGACTGTGGACGTGAGGCTTTAAAATCCTGCTGTGATGCCCACTATAGTGAACTGTGACAGCAATCGTGAGGTTTGGGGCAGGGTATTTGTGACAGAAACAGATGAAACTAGAACACTGTATAAATTAGTAACGGGGTGTTGAACATCTGTGGTCGATGTTGCTATTAAGCACTGTAAAAGATCCCAGTCAAAGCAGCAAGGCAAGAAACAAGGAAGGTTGAGGATTAAAAAGAGAGAAGTTGTTATCTTGTGATTCCTTGGCTGGGAAATCCCACAGACACAGCAGACAGATGCCCGGTCCTTTTTAGGTACTCAGTGAAAGGCAATAGGATGACTTCATTCCCTATAGGACTCTCACTGTAGCTGGCGGGAGAGGCGAGGCACCAATCAGTAAGACAGAACACCCCATGTCCACAGGACAGGGAAATGCATCTTTATTCCTATTAACTTGTGGCAACACCAATACCACCACTGTGACATTTAAAAATCACAACAGAGCCAGGCAGTGGAGGTGCATGTCTTTAGTTCCAGCACGTGGGTGGCAGGGCCAAGCAGATCTCTGAGTTTGAGGCCAGCCTGATCTACAGAGCAAGATCAGGACAGCCAGAGCTACACGGAGAAACCCTGTCTCAAAACAACAACAATCATAAAAATCATAACAGGCAAGTATCTTAATATGACTTCAAAGTCGTAGTAGTTAAGAGTGGCTATGATAGCCAGGTGGAGCCAGCACTCGGAGGCAGAGGCAGGCAGATCTCTGTGAGTCTGAAGCCAGCCTGGTTCCAGGACAGGCTCCAAAGCAATACAGAAAAACCCTATCTCGAAAAACAAAACAAAAAACAAAAGAGTAGCTATTAATTGGATTTTCATTCTTTCATTTGCTTTTGTTTTCTTGCGACAGGATCTCTCTATGTAGCCCTGAAGGTCCTGGAACTCACTATGTAGACCAGGCTGACTTTGAACACACAGAGATCACTTGCCTCTGCTTCCCAAGTGCTGGGGCTCCTCATGCTTATAGTTAATATTCGCATTTGAAGGTGCACTGGGAGAAGAACATTGCTATGAGAGGAGGCCACAGTTAAGCTTTAGAACTGTGTGATTAGACGTTGCTGATTTGTTCTCTACTAAAGTCACTGCCCTACCCTGCCGCCCTGTCCTTCACTTTTCTTCCTAGCTTGAGAGCCAGCCACTGGCTCAGCAGCTCTCTGTAGCGGCCCTGTGCTCCCCGCTCTTGATGCTCATTAGGTTAGATGTAAGCCCAGTCCTTGGGAGGATGTCTCTACTTGAGCTCTCTCCCCTTTTCCCCAGCAGGAAGAGGAGGAGGCTGCCTCCAACAGTTCACATGTCTTCTGTGTTTCCACTTAAGACAGTTGACCACTTCCCTTTGGAGAGCACAAGCCAGGTCCTGGCTCTGGGAGCGAATGAGAAAACGAAAAGGGAGAGAAGGGGATGTGGTTTCCGCCAGCGATGGGCTTGGGTTTTCCAGAGTTGTATCTGTTGCCTGACCCACGCACGCCATGTGATCCACTACCAGCCATAACACCCCCATGACCATGTCTGCATGAAGCTTGGGGGCCTGTGTGTGATGATGCATCGTGGCTAGGGCTGTGAATGGACCTTGGAGGTAGAGCACGTGCCCAGCATGTGAGGCCCCAGGTTCGATCCCTGGTACCACCAAAGTGTGTGGGATGACCCTGTTGTCTGTGGCTGACTTCTGCTTTGTTGTTCAGAATGGTGAGGAAGAGCAGTAGGACAGCAGCTGGCATCAGAGAGGCCTTTAACCCCAGCACTTGGGAGGCAGAGGCAGGCAGATCTGTGAGTTCAAGGCCAGCCTGGTCTACCTCGTGAGACCATTTCTCAAAAACGAAAACAAAAAAATTACGGTGAGAGAGAGGCAGCATGAATGTTAACATTTCAGCCACAATCAAATGTATAGTTGGGGTAGATGAGATGGCTCAGGGGGTAAAGTGCTTGCTGCCAAGCCTGACAGCTTGAGTTCAAACCCTGGAATGCACATGTTGGAAGAGAACCACTTCTTACACTTTGTCCTCTAACTTACACACACACACACACACACACACACACACACACACACACACACTCATTGCATACACACTTGTCACATACACAAATAAATACAAATACAAATTTTAAATTCTAAATCAAAACATTAACCCTGCCTCTGGTTGCTTGGTGGATTGGGATTCCTGGGAGTAAAATCACAGGTCAAGGATGACCTGTGGGGAGATGGGAAAGAGTAGAGGTGCGGAGAGAGCAGTTGCATGGCAACAGGGTGCTAGTGATGAAGGAGGCCAGGGTATGGAGCGCCAGGAGGGCTTGTGAGGGGTATCCTAGCTATGCAACCCTGTGATCTGAAGCCCAAGGGCAAGTGTCAGGCAGGCGGTAGGATTGATTGATTGTGTATGTGTGTGTATTTATGTGTACCTGTCAAGTGGAGGCCAGAGCTCAACCTAGGGTGCTGTCCCTCAAGAGTCATCTACATTATTTTTTGAGACAGGGTCTTCCATTGGCCTGGAGCTCACCAGTTAGGCTTGGCTGACTGGCCAGTGAGGCCCAGGCTTCTTCCTGTCCAGCTCTGAGATCACAACATGCACCACCATGCCTGGATTATTTCAGATGGCCGATGGGGTTTAAACTCAGGTCTTCCTGTTTTTATGGCTACCACTTGCCAACTGATCTACACTCTAACTCCCTTTATGGCTGCTGTTGTGATTCCTCATGTAGCCCAGGCCTGCCTCAAACTTACTAAGTACCCAAGGATGTCCTTGAACTCTTGATCCTCCGGACTTGACCTCCCAAGAGCTGGGAATATAGGCACCACCACATGCCACTTGGGCAGTTAGTCTGAGTCTGCAGCTGGGCCAAGGTGTGTGAGCATCCCTGGTGCAGAGTCGATCTTACAAATGTGGGCTGGGCTGAGAGCTCATTCCAGAAGCTGAGCCTGGTGGAGGAGATGGGAGAGGCTGAGGACAGAGAGGAGGCAGAGGTAGAAGGGAAAGCCCAGGGCACACAGGGCTCTGGAAGCTAGGTCGAGGACTTTTAGAGGGAGGGGAGCCATGTGTTAGAACAGGTCGCGTCCTGAGCCTCCCTGGGGTCTTCCAGATAGGGCACCACACTGAGAGCAGCAGCTCTGCCTTGTTCCACCTGCTGGTCACTGGCGGAAATGACCCTCTTTGGCATGGCATGGCCTGGCCAGGAGTGAGAAGGTTCCACCACATGTGAAGGTCAGAGGATAGCTTTCAGGGAACTGTTCTCTTCTTCCATGTAGGCTCCTGGGGAACAAAGTCAGGTCATCAGGCTCATCGTCTGTCACCCAGGTTGGTGACAAGCCCCTTCACCCGCTGTGCCCATCTCACTGGTCTATTCCTTGAATTTCTGACCCTCATCCATCTACCTCCTGAGTGCTGATTTCTCAGGGGTGAACCTAGTTCATTTGGTGCTGGGAATCGAACCCAGGACCCCATGCATGCTAGGCAAATACTCTCCCAGCTCCCGTAGACCATGTAAGTCTTGGCAATCTTTTCATTGTAGAAGCTTCACTTTCTTGAGTGGGATCCAAATGCATAAGAAACTCTCAAAGGAAGAGAATCACAGAACAGTGGGGAATGGCCCAGCAAAGCATCTCCCACATCAAGCCAGGCTTCATAGGACCTGCTGGTGGCAACTTCACACACATTCAGTACACAGCAAAGGAGGATTCACGCTTGAAGCAGGGGCCTGGATCAAAGTACGAGTGTGAGGTGTATCTGCATCCACCCAGAGTCTGACTCCATAACCCACCAAATACAGCAGCTAGCTGCACGGCAGATGGCAGACACTGAGAGAGGCTGCAGAGCAGTCAGAGCCTCTGAATTAAAACAATGGAAATAGCCTGGCGTTGTGGTGCATGTCTTTAATCCCAGCACTCTGGAGTCAGAGGCAGGCA